TGGTGGGACCCCTGAGTCAGACGGTGCGTCTTGGTCACGGTTCATATCGGGCGGCCCGGGAAGGAAGAGACACGCAGAGTGGGGGAAGTCCCCCACCCCAACGCAGCACACCCTCCCGGCCATCAGAGTCGAACCCGCAGTTAGGAAGAACCGACCGCCAGAGCACCGGCACTAGGCCGGGCCGGCAGAGGCCCTCCGATGGTGGGTCGCGTTTGCCATTCGATCAGTGAGAGAAGAGGAGAAAAATGCAACATAAATGGTCAAAATCCGTTAATATATGGATGAGTGGGGGGGGAAACGGCTGGACACAGGCCGTGGGGGGACACCCGAGACCGGGCAGTGTCCCCGGTAGAAGGAACCGGGTGAAATAGCCAACAAAAAAATAGGCACTCGTGAGGCGGGCAGAGTCCCCTGTCAACTCCTGTTACATTCCTCCATGGTGTCATTTGAGCGAAAAATGGCTAAGTCAACTTTTACAAGGAACCAGGCTGGGGGGGTCAAAAGGGCTTGACCAAGGCCGACCCAAAGTGCATGGTGAGCGGACTCATCACCTCCGTGATGAGTCTCCATTGTGATTTGAAAACTTCCATCAGACGAGTCCTTCGGTGGTGGGGGAAAAACGTGTTCGTCAGAATCGTCACTTCCTGTCCTGAGAGTGGAGTCTGCAGGCAGACCCCTCTCGCCTTCGGCACACAAATATAAAAATAAATAAGTTAGAACAATATTAAATATTTAAAACAAGTGAAAATCTTTGTTGTTTCTAGTGACAAAACATTGAAAGACATCATCTTGGACTTTGAGGAACCGGGATGAACATTTTTCACTATTTACTAACATTTTAAAATCAAGTATTCTATACTGATATATAAAGGTCAATCAGAGTTTGTTTTACTTGTTGTTTTGTTTTCAAATTAGTTTTTTTTAAATGTTTGTGTTTTTTCTCTTCTCAGTACAAAGTGTTGTCCGTGCTGCCGGGGTCAGGGAGCGGCATCTCCATCGCAACGCCGTCCACAACAAAGGTACGAGAAGACAGGGCGCTATGATCTGATGTAATGTGGAAGTTAATGAGTTAAATTAAGATATAAAGCAAATGTGCAAATAACAAGAGAGCCTGGAATGGATTTCTACGGTGTAAAAATACTGTTACAAGTTAAAGGGGCCCTATTATACTAATGTTCAGGTGTATATCAGTATGTAGTGTCTCTACTTTAAAGAGTCCTCTCCTGCTGATGTTCAGGTGTATATCAGTATGTAGTGTCTCTACTTTAAAGAGTCCTCTCCTGCTGATGTTCAGGTGTATATCAGTATGTAGTGTCTCTACTTTAAAGAGTCCTCTCCTGCTGATGTTCAGGTGTATATCAGTATGTAGTGTCTCTACTTTAAAGAGTCCTCTCCTGCTGATGTTCAGGTGTATATCAGTATGTAGTGTCTCTACTTTAAAGAGTCCTCTCCTGCTGATGTTCAGGTGTATATCAGTATGCAGTGTCTCTACTTTAAAGAGTCCTCTCCTGCTGATGTTCAGGTGTATTTCAGTATGTATTGTCTCTACTTTAAAGAGTCCTCTCCTGCTGATGTTCAGGTGTATATCAGTATGTAGTGTCTCTACTTTAAAGAGTCCTCTCCTGCTGATGTTCAGGTGTATATCAGTATGCAGTGTCTCTACTTTAAAGAGTCCTCTCCTGCTGATGTTCAGGTGTATATCAGTATGTAGTGTCTCTACTTTAAAGAGTCCTCTCCTGCTGATGTTCAGGTGTATATCAGTATGTAGTGTCTCTACTTTAAAGAGTCCTCTCCTGCTGATGTTCAGGTGTATATCAGTATGTAGTGTCTCTACTTTAAAGAGTCCTCTCCTGCTGATGTTCAGGTGTATATCAGTATGTATTGTCTCTACTTTAAAGAGTCCTCTCCTGCTGATGTTCAGGTGTATATCAGTATGGAGTGTCTCTACTTTAAAGAGTCCTCTCCTGCTGATGTTCAGGTGTATATCAGTATGTAGTGTCTCTACTTTAAAGAGTCCTCTCCTGCTGATGTTCAGGTGTATATCAGTATGTAGTGTCTCTACTTTAAAGAGTCCTCTCCTGCTGATGTTCAGGTGTATATCAGTATGTAGTGTCTCTACTTTAAAGAGTCCTCTCCTGCTGATGTTCAGGTGTATATCAGTATTTACAGATGGAGCATCTTATTTCAGACAGTTTGAAACGCGAGGGTCGTGATTGGTCCGTGATTGGTCCGTGATTGGTCCGTGATTGGTCCGTGATCGGCCCGTGATCGGCCCGTGATCGGTTCGTGATGAAGAGCCGGCCCCCAGTCTGACTTGATACCGCCCCCGTGATAAATACATTTAATTATTGTGAAGCCAGCTGCAATGGATGATTGATCCACCAGGGGGTGCAGTGGGGTTCCACACTGGAGCTCATGTGAAATCAACTTCGATACAGTAAACTGGATGTACAATATGTCTGGTATTAATGTATAGCGGATCTTTGTTAAGATCCATATGTCACGGATAGGATCATAGTCTGTGCTAAATAAGACATGTAATCATTTACAAAACATCACCATGTTGTTATTTAACAAAATAATGTTGTTTAGTCGAAAAAAACGAACGAGAGGAAATGCAGCCGGCTCTCCCGATTTTTAATCCTAATTTAATCATCATCTTCACCACGATCATTTATGTTTATGTTCGCCGAATTGACATGAAATCACTGACAAATATGAATATTCTGTATTCAACTTCATTAAAACGATCAGGACCCTGGGTGTTATTTTTCCCCACAATGAGAAATAGTCAGAAAAGCAGAAAAAGAACACTCAAACCAAGAGATGAGTTATTATTACAACGTGACTTCACTATTATTTAACAACTGTTTTTATTTGGTTCTTTTATTTGGGGTTAAGTATAGGTGAATTGCACTAATGTGGGAAAGATCGTGATGTCTCCTCCGATCAGCTTTATGATCTTCGTTCTCCCGCTGTGTAGATTGGGGGACTGCCGTCCTCTGTCTTCATCACGTGAAACAGAGGATTTCGACATTCTGTATTCCTTGCTTACTTCCTTAAACCTTTTCTCCTCCTTATCTCTTTCATGACTTTTTATTTAATGCTTTATAACAGCTGCTGTAATAGTTCGTTTAGAAATCCTAGAAACAGTTTTACGGCAGCTCTCATTTACGGTAACTCCTTCTGACGTCATAACCGGATATGAAGGATTTTCAGAATAAAAGCTTGGCATTGAGATTTTATGAGAACTTCCGGGTTTTTCACAATAAAACAGCTTTTAAACTGACGGTATGTTTTAGACTAAATAATGCTATTAAACATTAAACATTTTAATTTCTAACATTTTGCATTTCAGACTTCTGGAATATATTGCGATATGAACAGGGTTGGGAGGGTTACTTTGTAAATGTAATCAGTTACTGATTACTGAATACATGGCTCTGAAAGTAATCCGAATACAGTTACAGTTACGTGTCTTAAAAAAGTAACGTAATCAGATTACTTTTAGATTACTTTTGGATTACTTTCTTTATCCATCACAAATGAGAAAATAATAAAACAAATACAAAGAGGAAACAATTTGATATGTCTACAATTTATTTTAGGAGTATTAATATTTTTTCAGATAGGATCATACATTTACAAAACATCACCATGTTTTTATTTAACAAATTAATCTACAATAAATCCTAATCTTATATTATAAAACATCACCATGTTTTTATTTAACAAATTAATCTACACTAAATCCTAATCGTATATTATAAAACATCACAATGTTTTTATTTAACAAAATAATCTACAATAAATCCTAATATTATATTATAAAACATCACCATGTTTTTATTTAACAAAATAATCTACAAAAATTCCTAATATATAATATTATGGTCCTATATTTAACAAACTATGCCTATCTGCGGCCTATCTACAGTTTGCCTATCTGTGGCGGAAACCAGGGCGAGGTGTTTCTGGATCCGTTTTTCGTGGGCTCCTCAGTCTCTCGTTTACCTGGTTCCTAATGTTATGCCACTGGTCCGTGGTCAGGCCTGGGAACCGACGGGAGACACTGGACTCAAGTGTCTGCCTCACATTGAGGGGAAGAGGCATTTTCCCTTTGCTCCCCCTCCAGTTGGTGATTTTGACCATGTTCTCATATGAGTCAAATGGCAACATGGCCATGAACATATCACCCGCAAATTTCTCAGGTTTCTCAGTTTGAATAGGAGAAGGGCAATGGTTATCGATGGTGCTTTTAAAGCCTATTGTATACTAACTGTGTGATTTATATTGCTTTTCAAATGCATAGGCTATAGGCCCCCCATTTACACTGCACTTCCCGTCAAGAATATGAATAGCACTTAGTTAGATCACTTTACAGATCAGGTTGGACCAGCCCTTCTCTGTCGCTACTCTCTGCAGGTCCGCTCCATTTCCTACTGCAGATCAAAAAAAGCTAAAAATATGTATTTCTTAATAAACTAAATAGGCCACCATTGGTAGCAGTTCTCATTATATACTTCTCAGTAACTGCTCCCCTTAAATTAAATGTATTCTGTAGATTTTGGGGATTCATTAATGCATTTATTGCCATCACCATGCTTTTATCATAGATAACACGGCAGGGCCCGTTACAGTTTGTTTTCATCTGATTTCAAATAAACAAAGTCTTATTAATATATTATTTATTAGAATATTAAACTTGTTTCGCCAAATTTAGATGATAAATACAACTATGAAGCTTGTAACGGCATAATTACTTAAGAGGAGAACGGAGTAATTTTACGTTACAGCAGGCATAACAACAGCCAGTGTTTATTTTATTATTATATATAGTCGTTATTCATTTGTTTTAAAGCTCAATAAGGAAGATTTAAACTTTCACACACGTTGACCGGCGAAAAACTGCCCGGTTCCCTCGGCCCCCACCATGTTGAATAAACAGAAGGCTGCTTTTGTGGAGGAAGTTACAGCGCTACGTACAGGCTCGGCATATGCAGCTTTTTCCAGCGGTATCCATAAATCTCTTAATTTTGACCTCAAAGTGCACCAGATTGATGCATTTAACTTCAATATAAAGAAAAACATCTTCTGTTGTAAAAACAATAACATTATAAATAGTAACATAGCTGAACATGGTATTGCACATTTAGCTTTCAGTGTTACTGACCTGAGATGTTTTTATTACATGAATTAAGGTGACTGAGGCTTTTTAACATAGACTTTTCCAATGTCTGAGTGTAATATCTGCATTTTCTATTTTGGTTTGATAAGGACACATCCTGGGGATTGTGTTTACAAACATTGACCATACCGTTCACCATCCCCCACCCCCCTACTGTATGTTGATTTTGTTTGCCTACATGTAAATGGGTGGCATTTAGTACCTACCCCCCTCTGAGTGAATACCTGTTGTACCTGTCCGGGGCTAAGCCCATAGGACGATGCTCTGATGTCAACCCCCCCCCGTTGACAATTTACGAGCGTCTAACTCTCTCCCCCCTCCCCCGTCGCACCTTCTAACAGAGCCCCCCCACATATCAAATCCCAATTTAACCCCTGGCCATTGGAGCAAATGAAAGAGTTTTAAAAATGTTTACGTTTTGGTAAGTTTTTAGGGAAATGTTGTAATATTGCAACGTTGGCCTTAGGTGGGAGCAGAATTTCTGTATTTCTACTCACATTGTCTGAATAAATATATTGAACAACTAAGGGTTAATTTGCAGGATTGATTGCTTACTTAGCCCTATATCAGTATATAGCATGAATAATAATCACACATCACTCATATTTGTTATGAATAATCATTTATCATGTATTAAATAGTAAGTCACTTTGGATAAAAGCGTCAGCTAAATGCAATTTATGAAAGCCTCACTCAGGATTTTTTTAACAAGTGTTTTTATTGCTCTTGGGGCATTAAAAACAAGATTTTAACTTTAGTTTTTTATATAATATCTGCATTTTCTCTTGTGAAAAACTAAGTCTTAGTTTGGCCATAGTTATTTAATATATAGCGCCATCTCCTGGTTAAATCCTGAAATTGAAAATCTGGCAACGCCCTCTTGGAAAATAGTGGGAGGGCTTAACATTCCCAGATACTGGTCTTTGGCAGGTCTTAGGCAGGTAACTGGCTGGTAGTAGGCAGGAAGCTGTAAGCTGGAGTCTGAAATAAGATGCTCCATCTGTAGTGTCTCTACTTTGAAGAGTCCTCTCCTGCTGATGTTCAGGTGTATATCAGTATGTAGTGTCTCTACTTTAAAGAGTCCTCTCTGCTGATGTCCAGGTGTATATCAGTATGTAGTGTCTCTACTTTAAAGAGTCCTCTCACGTCGTACAATGTGTCGGAGCGCGAGCCAATAGAAGCGTGAGTAATACATAGTGATGTCTTGTTGCACGCCTTTCTGGGGTTTTTCCCTTGGGTTAGGGTGAAATCCCTGTGTTCCCTCCAGTTATATTGTATACATACATTTAATTGATAGATTACATGTTAAGTAAAGTATTATCACCTCTGAATTGAACTCACTTCCCATCTTGTTGCAGCCGATGGTGTTCGGCGCGATGATCCACAGAGACGAGGCCTTCGACGCCATCTTTAACCAGCACACGAAAATCGTTTCCGCGGCAACAGCCATCGAACCGGAGACGTAGTAACACCTTCACAAGGCTGCCGCCACACACACGCACACACACACACACATACATACACACACACACACACTGGGACTGTTATACTGTTAATTAACCAGTTTTTAAATAATCCGGTGACGTTAAATCACAGATTTTCTGTCACCAATGATTTCTTAAACAAGTTCCCACAAAACAGGAAACAATAAGGTACATTTTTAGTGCTAATTAATTGATAAATCCTCAATTATGTCCGGTATTTATCTCTGGAATAATGTCCTGCATATTAATGAATATTGTCCAGAAGGCGTAAGGATATTGATCTTAATTAACCACGTATAATACGGCTGTACCAGAGATACAGTATATGGGCTGTACCCAATATTTTGAATCTACATCCATTATGTTGACATTTCTAATTGTAAATAAAAATGAAAGCTGCACAATAATTTGTAATAGTTTTTAAAAAATGATTTTAACTATATATGGATTTTCTTGGTTCAAAAAAAAGAGTTACTGGTACTTATGACCCTTTTTGAGTTAAGGATCTCTCAAAAACTTAACATAAATATTCACTTACGACGATAAAATGTAAAGAATAGAAGGAAATTGGTAAATTTGAGATTTAGAAACACATCCTGCCATTTTTGCATAAAAAGTTACTTAAAATTATAAATGTATTATCAGAAAATTATATTACTGTCAATTTTGTTTGTCAACTAGCCATTGATGCTCTAAATCAGGGGTGTCAAACTAAATGTCATCATAGGCCACATTAACATTATGGTTCACTCAAAGGGCCGGTTGTAACTTTAAGACTATATAAATATATAATATATAAAATAATGTATTATATTACATTATTGCCTCTGCGTTGGATTATTATCTGATAACTTCATAATTAACTACGTCTGAAAGCAGAAGTTTAGGACAAATGATTGCAAGTGTCTTCAGTGCGCATGTCACAAAATGAGATGCATTATGGTTCATGTAGTTTATGGGCAACGTGCTTCTGTAAAGCGGCATGTAACCGTATAATAAACGTATTGTCTTCTTTCAGAGCTCTTGCGGGCCACATAAAATAAAGTCGCGGGCCGGATTTGGCCCCCGGGTCTTGAGTTTGACACCCCTGCTCTAAATCATTGTACGAAAAGGGGCAATATGTCCCTCTTTGAGTTAATGATCTCTCCCAATCTTAACTTTTAACATAAATATTCCCTTTAGTATGATTAAAAAAGCAAAGGATAGTAGGAAATGACCATATTTGAGACTAAAAACAGCATAATTCCTGACATTTTTGCACTTTAAATGGTTTATATATAATCCATAAAAGTTGGCTTCAAATATGTCTTGTTATTTGGTCATTACAGTTCAGTACTTGGTACAAAATATAACATGTTGACCCTCTTTGAGTTATGAAAATCACCGTTTTTTTTCTTCTAATGAGCTTTTTAAAACACTAAAATCGTACTTATTTCCTTTAGTGTCTTTACACTACATCATGAATATTATACTTGAACATCTTAACAATGTGTTAGTGCTGAAATATGAACATATTACATTTTCTGTTATTAATGAGAAATGTTTTTACGTTACTCTCCGTGTTTGAAATACTTTACATCATATCTTCAGGGATTTATAACATGATGTAACTCTGTATTGTACTAAGCCTTACAGCCAGTTTGTATTATAGTATGTTGGGTTTTTAATGTGGTGGGCGGACACTGTTTGTTTCTATATGAATGTGCTGAAAGATTTAATGAAACCACAAAATCGACCGCAGGGGAGCTTTTATTTTGGCTAAAAATATAAAATCTAATGCTAATATAACAGACACAACCTGTGATACATACGTTTTGTTTAATCATTGTTCATACTTCTTATGCTTTAGCTTTCTTCACAGTCTATAACTTAAGAAACTATGGCTAAAAAAACAAAAAAATAACCAAAAACAAACTTAAAATATTACATTTCTGTCCATTTTCTTTGAACTTCATCTCCTAGCTTGATGCTAATCGACAAGCTAACCGATTGAAACGTTGACCTGGGCCGCTTTTTTTTATCACAGTTAAGATATATTTTACTTTAGCTGAGAGATAAATGAAGAGGCTTAAATACATGTATGTTGTAATATATAAATATTTAAGGGGATTGTTAGCTTTAGCCTCTTTAACACTAGCTAATCGGCTAAAGCTAAACAACTGGAACTGACCTAAAACCTTTTTTAAATCACAGTTAAGTTATATTTGACTATAGCTAGGATGTTCAAAAGAAACAAAAATATATTCATATTAACATATCTATAAATATTTAAGTTTTTTTTCTGATCTGATTAACGTTAGCTTCTTTAACCTGAGCTAATCGGCTAAAGCTAAACAAGTTAAAACAACACAATGAAGTATTTTCTTCAGTTCAGCTTTTCTATTTTGACTTTGTACAAAGCTCAATTTCATATCAATCTGACCTAAATGAGCCACTTAAACAACAACAAACCATGTCATTTTTATTTTGACAACATTCTTATACCCATCAAAATGTAGCCTATGTTTATTTTTTCTCTAACACTAGTCAAGCTTTTTAAATTGGACCTTAACTGATGATTTTTTGGCAGCCTGATTACGTGTCTGTTACCCAGCTAATGCTATGTTTAAATGTTGTCTCTATTTTTATTTTCAGTCTGAAACCTTTAACAAGCATTTAACACTTTTATTTGACGTTAAATTCACTCTATTTCAATGGAAAAAGTTCCACATTTGACAGAAAAGCAACTGTGCAGAATAGGTAAGGCTATCGTCTTTAAAATAATTAAATGTACAATTTCTGAACACGAATATTTGTTTCTAAGTTGCGCTCAAAACTCAGACTTATAACATTAACATTTTATCATTTTCAATAGGTATTTGTATTGGTCCAGTTAAGCTCTTTCTTTGCCAAATGGAATTCCTTATTTTTTAAAAAGGTTTGATTTTCTGAACTTTTATGAAATTCTTCCCCGGTTTATTTTGTGGTTTCTCGGGTTCTGCTTTCGTCTCGTTTACGTGAACTTCTCTGTCGGCTGCTGTCTTTCGGATACAATGGTTTTATAAACTGGTGTTGTTGTATACATAGGTGGACGTTTTTTAAATGAAATGATTGCTCTTCCTAAATTGTGATGTACATTTTTTTTTAAGTAAAATCAAATGTCAAACACTGACAGTCTTCTGTTTTTGTTGTTGTTTTGCGCAGTACCACGTTCAGCCTGTTGGTGTCAGTAGAGAGTCAGAGGAGACTATGAAAAACATATAAACAGTAAATTCATAAACACTCTAATTTCTCTGTAGTTATTATTTGAGATGACTTTAAACATGTGTTAAAATTGGACGTCAGGAATTAAAAATCACTTATTTTGATGTTACATTTTATTTATTATTTGAACAATCTTTTTTATTATATATTTATAAAATATATATTCTTTGAAGACATTTATATATATAGTTTATATTTTTTATAAAATACAGATAAGACTAGAAAATTAAATAAAGGTTACTTATTATAAATATTATAATTGGTATTATGTTTGTATTCTTATTTTCCTTTTAAGTGTGAGAGTATAATTGATTATTATTGTTATTGTTATCACTGTACAATGTTTTCTTCATTTTGTTTTGAGCCAAACACCAACAGTCTTTATTTAAAGTTGTATTTATTGTTTCTGCCCCAAATTCTGCCTCATGCTGACAAATGTTTCTAAAACCTTTTGTGGGTCATAACGACAGAAGTTCAGTTTGTTCTGTTTTAATGTTTTACAGCCTTCAGTATCAGCAGGGAGGGTTTTATTATCACTGACGGTAACAACCAACATAACCAGTAAATAATCAACTCACCTGGAGGGAAAGGCTCACGTATTAAACGCACAGACTTTCATTCTTTAAAAAAAACAACCACAACTTTTCCCAGGTTTTAACTACAGAGCTGTTTCCCTTCTTCTATTCTATCCTGCTGTTTGCCTTTGCTCTCTCAGATGGAGTGAAACTATGCTTTAAAGAAATCAAATTATCATTAATATATTAACTTCTTACACTGTGTTACCTTGGATTATCCAAAACATGGAGAAGATTATTGATTAAATAATAATAATAGAAATCGTTATTTTGTGGGTGAATTATTCCCTTAAAGGTGGGGTAGTTAAGTTTGAGAAACCGGCTCGAGATACACTTTTTGTTATATTCCATGGAATGCTCTTAACATCCCGATAGCAATGAATATCTTAAGTGCTTTGACAAAAAATCCATAAAAAAATGTAATCTGTGGAAGCCGTAGTATACTGTAAAAAGCACGACCAATCATTTTAGTCGGCCCGGCTAAAATAACTGGATGGCTTACCTGCCTGTCAGCCTTCCATCTGTGCACAAACTTATCTCGTGCCCTCATTGGTCATGTGCGCGTTCGTGTGTGTTGGAGGAGGGGCTCTATAAGGAAGTGGCAGATTTTTTCCGGTTGTGTATTTTCAAATTCTAGCGATCTCGAGCCGGTTTCTCAAACTTACATACCCTACCTTTAATAAACAAGTCAGTTAATTCAAAATGTTTTGCCTCTTTAAACTAATTCAGTTATATTTATATTTATATAAATAAAATATATATTCTAGCTGATATCTTTAGGTTAAAAAAAATACCCTATTCACCTGTAGTGTCTCGCCTTAAATTCAATCCTTGCATCCCTCATTTGCGTTTTAAGAGCAATGGGACGTCACGTGAAGCGACGTCCATTTGTGATGACGCCGCACAGCTGATCGTCTGACAGCAGCCAGCTCTGTCCCCATTTTTTTCACAAACACCCCCGCCTCTGTTAGTGCACATTTACTGACACAAACATTTGTATCATCTGTTGTAGACCCAGATAAATAAAATAAAATAAGAACTCGTTCTCAAAAAAGATAAACGCCATTCTTAAAATGTATAAACAAACAATAGTTTGATTAATATTGATTTGAGTGCACAAAAGAATGACAATTATTGAGAGAAGAAAAAGAGATATGTTATCTATCAAAACCCAGTTAGATTAACATTCATTGGATTGTCCAATCAGTGAGCGATACACAGTAAGGGGGCGGGGCGAGTGGCTGAGAATTTCACCGGAGGATGGTCTGGTGGTTCCTCCGTTACCGCTCCTTGATCCTCGGTCCTCCGGCACAAATAAGGGCAATAGGGCGCTACTCAAGATGGCACAGACAAATCAACTTCCGGTGATACAGAGGACCGAGGAAATGAAAAATAAGAGAAGTGAGAAGCTGCCAAGGAGATCGCTCTTCTAATGATAATTATATTGCAAGTTAGAAACGTAAGATGCATTTTGACAGAAAAGACGTACACTTGGGGCGAAATATCCTGCATTAGAATGTCCGATAGTCCACCATTAACACCTTAGTCCCGTCTCGTCAACGAAAACAAAATATACATTTCGTCATA